ATTAAAAAATGCGATCGCATGGGTGTTTAAATCGAGATTGCGATCTTTTAACGATTAATCATGCCGCTCTAAAGCATGTTAAAAACATACAATTTAACTTAGCCTAAGTTTGACTGTCTTCATATTCTGTAAGGAAACGTTAAAAAGCATTTCTGAATGAATTTGTGTAATGTAGTTTGATTTGTATTAGTTATCTATTTTAGTTTTAGTTACAGTTGTAGTAATGTTGTCATTTTATTAGTTTTTTATGATGTCTATATAGGTTTTTTATTAAGTTTTAGTTTTTTAATTTGAGTTATTTCAGTACTTTAACATACAAAATAGAAATGAAATAATATATATATATTGAATGTATTTATATATATGAACAATAGAGTTTTAGCTTTTAATTTTAATTACTTTTTCTTATTTGTAAGTCGCTTTGGATAAAAGCGTCTGCTAAATGACTAAAAGTAAAAGTAAAGTAAAAGTGTGTAAAATATATTAACACTACCTATATTCTGGAAAATGTCAAGGGTTCCTCAAAGATGGCTAGCACTTTTACATGTTTTAATGAATGAGGTACAGTGAAAATATGAGGTACAGTAGGTCTAAAACAGCCGTTGTCATTGGTTACGGTGCATTTAAATGGCAACTGAAAATTAAGTGTTATTAACTAGGTCATTTTTTTATTCACCCTTCATTTTCTAAAAGTGGCCCCTGAGTGACGCAATTTGAGCATCTATGATTTAGAAATTATATTTTGTCTTTGGTTGGTGATTAAATTGTGCTGTTGAGTGTTGTATGTTTAGTTTGCCTGGGTTTGGATGCCTTAAATACCAAGAATCCTTCATTAAATTATTTTTGCTACTCATATGATTCAACATGTTGAATTCTAGCTCGAAAATTACAGTTAACCTTTTCCTGTTCAGATGGGAGTTGTCTTTGGCCCTGAGGACCAAATATAATATGGTTTTATAATGTAATATATATGTAATGTATATATGTATAATATATGTAATTTGGGGTCAGTTTTTTTTTTCAAGAATTTAACTTTTATTCAGTAAGGATGCATCAAATTGATCAAAAGTCACACTAAAGGCATTTAAATGATGTTACAAAAGATTTTTATTTTAAAGAAATGCTGTTCTTCACACCAGTATAAACTCTTTTTTTTTATCATTTCCTCACCCTTGTGTCTTTCAACAGAAGATTTCTAAATGAGCTGTCTCTTTAAGACTGTAAGATATCCTCCAGTTGTGCTCTAAAGCCTCGTTCACACTACAAGCGACACGCAACAGCAAAGCGACACAATCCCTTTCATTTCAATGGAGAGCTGGCGATTTCCGGCGACACGAGCGAAAGCGTCCGTTGGCGACCGGATGGGGCGTGTCCAGCGACGCGACAAAGTTCAGAATCCTTCAACTTTATGCAAATGAAGAGCGACTTTCGGGAGCGACAGCCAATAGGAAAGAAGACGTTAGAGTTCATGTGATCGTTCTCCTCTTGCGCCGTAGATAAACATATGCAATGGAAGAAAGTAGGCTCTGTTTCTCATTCATTTTTGTTTGTATGTACGGATTTAATTTTGATTTAGATTATATTTAGTATTTTGCCTCCAAAATGTTTGTACTTAGCAGGCAATAAACCCGATTCGCTGTCAAGGCAAACAGTAAAACGCCCACTAGCAACCTCATCGCCAGCCAAAAGTCGCTGCTAGTGTGTATGGGGCTTAAGCTGCTTTTTCCATAGATGTAAATCCATATCCAAACAAGTGATGCCTGTATATTTGTGGAAAAATGCTTGTAATGCAAATTTAGCTTATAGTGCAGTTGGCTTTTTGTTGAAACTCCACAATGTTTGTGATTATGGTATCTTATCCCAGTTCCTCTGAAATGATCCTCTGCGAAGGATGTCCATTATAGCCACCTGAACTCACTCCTACCTGAGTGATTTTTTCTTCCTATTTGATATCGGCTCCAGGCACATG